TTTTTTCATCTAATTTACCAACCAAAAAAAATAAACATAACCCAATTATTTTAACAGTCTAATATGGTACACTGCTTATATTAGAAAAATAAAAAAGGGAAAGTATTATAGAGCTCACAATAAGACTAATAGAATGCATAACATCTTACTAGCAATTCAATTAGTATCCTAGAATACATGACTTAAGAAATTATTTAATCACGTGGATAAAACTACATATGGAAAGTGTTAATTTGTTTTTGTGCCATTTACTAATTCATCAAATGTTTCAAAGGAAAACAATAGCGGTTTAGACGCTCCCGGGCTCTCTCCCTCTTCCTCCATACATGATTTAGAATGAATAACTGTTTTTTGTATCGATCATAGTGTTAAAAGTACATTTTCCCAATATAACTTCCCATATACAAAATATGTGACTTAAACCTCTTCTTTTTCCATTAACAATACTATTATCCTCAATCACAATAATGACCAGAAAAGTAGATTAATTTCTCGATCTATAACAGCTTGATTTTCTATAAAATAGCAATGCCTAAATTACTTCCATTTAATTTCTTATGGCTCGCACCGGGTGCACATATTAGATATTCTATTATTACTTGAGAGTTATGAATTCAAACAAGTCCAGTAAATCCAATATTCAGAAACACTGTAATTGGTAGTTGCCAATTTGCAAATGGTATGAATTATAGTCAAGTTCTTGACTTGGCAGAAAAAGTTCTAGCAAGTAAATGGCAACCATATTTCACAATAAAATAAAATTGAAGAGAAAAAGCAATACAGATTCGTTAGGAGCTTTTAATAGTAAAGGCAAATCAAGCATGCTGGTGGAATTAAAAAACCAACATCACAATGAATCTAAAAAGTGAACTAATAATGCTGGAGGGTAACAGACATTTTAAGCTGAAATATTCAGTCAGTTTCATGCAATGAGAAGAGATATACCTGAAAATGTGAGCTTTTAAGGCACCTAGCAACCTGTTGGAAGAGAGGCACCATGCACCTCTGAAATTCAGGCTCCTGTGTGAACTCAAGAATCTCCTCCAGCTCCCCAAGGAACATAACCTCTTTTGAGCTATTGGTAAGGGGCCAATACTTCAAGAGCCCCCTAATGACCGTGTCGGCTAGCTTGTTGTCCTTCTCCACAAACTGTGTAATGCAGTAGGACAGCTGTTGGTGGTAAAGCGCAAGACACTTAGGCTTATGGAGTGGAATCAACGCCCGAACAAGGAACAATTTGTGCTCCTCCTTTAGAGGCAGCGCAAACCCATTGATAATACTGCCTAGAATCTCAAGTAGCTCCGCAATCCCATTGTGCTTCTCCGTCTCGAATATAAATCGGTAGAAAATGTTGTTGATAGCCTTTCTAATAAAAGGCCGGTGAACCATGAACTTCCCATAAAGCCGATGGAGAATTGTCTTCAAGTACTCTCTCTCCCTTGGATCCTCGGAGTCGCATAGATCCAGCAGGCGGAGTATAAAGGAATGATCAACATAGCGCTTTGCAATCTTCGCATCGGTCTCCGACGAAGCTACGAACCTGAGGAAGAATTCATAAACGATCTGGAGATGGGGCCAGGCAGGTTCCATTGCCGGCTCGTCCTCCTCCGCTTCGACGCCCTCTACAACCTTAATTCCCTCACCGCCAGTGGAATAGGACAGCGTTCTAAAAATATTGGCGGCCACCATCTTCGTGGCATCCTGCATCGCCGCCTCACTAAACTTATTCGTGGCAGTAGAAACATAATCCACGAGCTCAAGCAGCATCTGTCGCTTCACCTCCTTCTCCCGCGAGTTCTTCGTAGGGTCAGAGAAGTCAAACACCACGGAACACATGCCCAGCTTCCGTAGAAACAGAAAAGGTTTCTCGGAGCTGGGCACGTCTCGAAAGCTTGGGAGGGGCTCGTACGACGCCGCTAGAACCACAACACCGTTGACTAGCCCAGACTGCGGCGCGGCAGCGGGGCCCAAGAA